TCCTCCTCCTCCTCCTCCTCCTCTTCTTCTTCTTCTTCTTCTTCTTCTTCTTCTTCTTCTTCTTCTTCTTCTTCTTCTTCTTCTTCTTCTTCTTCCCCACCCTTCATTCAGAGTCTCAGAGCACCTTACAGCCTCCTTTCCGTTCCCCTCCCCACAACAGAAAACTTGTGACGTAGGTGGGACTGAGAGAGCTCTTTCGAGGACTGCTCCTAAGAGAACAGCTCTGAGAGAATTTGTGACTGGCCCAAGGCCACCCAGCTGGCTGCATGTGGAGTAGCAGGGAATCAAACCCAGTTCTACCAGATAACCACAACACCAACCTGGCTTTCTGAACTCTGGCCCCCACCTGTAGGTTGGCAACCGTAGCCATTCCTTAGTCTCGTGGTCTTTCTTTGTGGACCCTGGAGGAAATGGCCAGGCCTCCGTGGCTTTCATCTGACTCTGAGTCTTTGTGCTCTCTTAGGACATGAGCGTCGCAGAAGTGGCCAGCTTGTTGCTACGAACCGAAGAAACCTTCTCGGCGTACCTGGCACGGATCAACAGCGTCATCCTTACTCCCCTGTTGCAGTCAGGTGAGGATGCTGGGTGGTCGTAGGCAGCATTCCCTCTAAGCTGAGTTCATGTGAGCCACCTCACAGTTTTTTAGCCTCCGGCTCACACGTTTTTGTCTCAGCTCAGGAAGGAGGGCTCCAGAGCAAACTGATTTATGCAGCAGCTAAATTGCTCGCTCACAACATTAATGCCAGTCGCTCACAAAGTAGAATTTTTGCTCACAAGACTCCACAGCTTAGAGGGAGCATTGGTCGTACGGGTACTGGGATGGGCTCAATTGCACTAAATGGTCTCTTTTTGCCAGAGACATTTCCAATTGTATGGTCCCTAGAAAACCATTTTTTATTGATTGACGATTTTGGAAAGATGTATTTCTTTAGTTCATATATACCCCACTTCTCTCCCCAAAGGGGGTTTACACCATTCTCCTCTCTTCCATTTTATTCTCACAACAATCCTGTGAGGTAGGTTTGGCTGAGAGAGTGTGACTGGCCCATGGCTACCTGGTGAGCTTCTGTGGCATGAGCAGGGATTCGAACCTGAATTTCCTAGATATTAGTCCAACAGACTTAACCCCCTATACCACACTAGTTGTTTGAAAGGTATTGGATCCATGTTGATGAGTGAGTGTACACCTGCACTGAAGGTACTTCAGGTCATCCTCCAGGTATCTAGAAGTTTAATCTGTTTAGAACATCAGATGAGCCCTGCTGGATCAGACCCAGTGGTCCCTCTAGTCCAGCCTCCCGTCTCACACAGGGGCCAACCAGTTCCTCTGGAGGGCCAACAACAGGGCAGAGAGGCCGAGGCCTTCCCCTGCTAAGAACATAAGAAGAGCCCTGCTGGATCAGACCAGGGAGGGTCCCTCTAGTCCAGCATCCCGTCTCACACAGTGGCCAGCCAGTTCCTCTGGAGGGGCAAAAACAGGGCAGAGAGGCCGAGGCCTTCCCCTGATAAGAACATCAGAAGAGCCCTGCTGGATCAGACCAGGGAGGGTCCCTCTAGTCCAGCCTCCTGTCTCACATAGTGGCCGACCAGTTCCTCCGGAGGGCCAGCAACAGGGCAGAGAGGCCGAGGCCTTCCCCTGAGAAGAACACCAGAAGAGCCCTGCTGGATCAGACCAGGGAGGGTCCATCTAGCCCAGCCTCCCGTCTCACACAGGGGCCAGCCAGTCCCTCTGGAGGGCCAACAGCAGGGCAGGGAGACCGAGGCCTTCCCCTGAGAAGAACACCAGAAGAGCCCTGCTGGATCAGACCACGGAGGGTCTATCTAGTCCAGCCTCCTGTCTCACACAGGGGCCAACCAGTAAGGCTGAGGCCTTCCCCTGATGTTGTCTCCTGGCACTGGGATTCAGAGGTGTGGACTGGATGTGTCTGCTGCGAATGAATCTGTTCCACCACAGAAACTGGTCCAGTGGAGGGATACTTTAGATCAGGGTTCCCTGACCTTTCTGAGCCTGTGGGCACCTTTGGAATTCTGACACAGGGCGGTGGGCGCAATCACAAGATGGCTGCCACGGGAGGCAGAGTCAACCACAAAATGTCAGATAGCAAGGATGTATCTATATATCTAATTCCCAACATGGCCCCCTGTGTGCGGATGCTTATTTCCGCAGATCAGGGGCACATGGAGGGAAAAGAGATTATCCTGCACATTTGGGGCACCCCCTAGCTGTGCAGAAAAATCTAAAAACTTTTTAAAAAGGATCCGGGGATATTTAAATCTTCCCAAAAGTACAACAGCCTTTTCTGCTCATGTGCAGAGAAAGGACTTACCAACGACGAGGAACTTTCTCTCCCCCTCCCTCTCTCTCCTTGGAAAGTTCTGAGCACGTGACTGCCCTTAGCAATGGCTTTCCTAGCGACAAGGCCTTCACAGGCTTCTCCACTTTTGGGAAGCCAGGAGCAAAGAAGGACGGAAAGCGGCGGGTGGCTTTATGGCTGAGCCTGCCCTGGCTCAGCCTCCCAGGCACTGCCACCGCTGCCGGGCTCAAAATTAGGGGGAAAGGAGGGGAGAAAGAAGGGGGTGATTGGTTTGGGGGGGAAAGAGAAAGTGAAAAATGGGGGTATTTGCTTGGGGGGGAGAAAGAAGGGGGATGGCTTGTGGGGAGAGAGAGAGAAAGATCAACTTGCTGGAGGGTTGTAAAGAAATAGGAGGGATTGGCTTGGGGAGAGAAAGAAAGGGGGAGGGGGAGAGGGAAGGAAGCAAAGGTGGGGGAATGCCTCCTCCCCGCAAGTTTCTTGCGGGTCCACCCTTGCAGAACTCTAATAGTAACTCTTCGACACTTCAAGCAAAAAGTATGCTTAACGGGAGGCCTTTTAATCTGCACAGTCAGCCAGAAATCGTGCTGGGCAAACATCCCACCTGGACTGTCTTACTTTCAAGTCAAGTTTATTAATACAGTCAAGTGACCAGCCAATTTAGAACATTCCCAAGAAGAATAATAATATAAAGTACATAATAAATAGCTACATAACATTCAAACGGATATATAAAAGAACATTAAAACAAATGCAGGAGCAACACATTATATCTAGGGTACAAGCTTCCTCTTTTTAAGAGCCAGGAAGCAAAATTTTGCAACGGCTGAAGATATCCTCTCTCTCGGGTCTTCCAGCAGAAAAGTTAAAATCCTTAATTCCGCAAATTTCCGCTGGACATCCAAGGGTTTAAATTTGGACAACAATGGGAAAATTGGCAGCTGTCTCTCCCTAACGTAAA